GATTTTTGCAATTTTAGATTCTTGATAGCTCTGAACGTCTATTTCGAGTGGCTAAGGGTTTACTGGCTGGTAATGTTTTTGACTGGGGCGCACAAAAAGTAGTGGAAATGATGGAGTCCGAGGAAGGATTACCGTTTGATGTTGCCGTCACATCCATTCCCGGTATGTGAACTTGTGCAATCCAGCATCAGGAGTCTCTTTCCTTGTTCTTTGAATTCAGAGACTTTTATCGCATTAAGTACTATATTCAGTGCTTTACAGCATGTCGTTATTTACTGGATCCATTTGTTATTGCCTTTCTCATTGTTGACCTTCTAGAGAGGCCATGGTTGATCGACTCTTACGACGAGTTCAAGACAACTCTAAACTCGAAATCATATAACTGCGCCGCTATATTTGTGGATAATAGTGGTGCGGATTTCGTTTTGGGTGTCATACCATTTGCAAGGGAACTTCTGAAGCGTGGAACAAAGGTAGTGTATTTACGATATGAAATTACTCTTCTTGGGCTGTATCTTTTTATCAGTACAGTTAATGTTAAGGTTATCATTGTCTCAAATCTATCCCCAGCACTGAACGATTTGACGTACAGCGAAATGATGGCAATGATTCCACTTTTACGAAAGGCTGACGTTCTTCTCCGAGATGCTATCGATAGGGAAAGATTAATGTTCGAGCATAGTGGTCAGGGATCCCCTTGCTTAGACCTAAGGTCAGTAACTGAAGAGCAAAGTGCTCGTGGTAGTACTTCGTCTTCGCAAAACTTCCATTCTTCCTTTCTCTTAGGAGGGTACACTCGGCCTTGAACCGCCGGGTTTTAGAGGAGCAAGTGGATCTCGTAGTGATTGAAGGAATGGGCCGAGCTTTGCATACAAATCTTCATGCTCATTTCGTCTGTGACTCCCTGAAGGTATTTTTTTCTTGTACCTTTATAAGACATCTTGTGGGAGTTCAATTTCATTTTATTTCATTTATTATTGATTTCTGTTAAATTCTAGGTTTCTATTTTTCAAAGAACTTGCTGCGGTGATTGTTTTTGGAACTACAAAAATTATTATATTAAGGAATTTCAGGTCGCTGTCATCAAAACTCAGTGGTTGGCTGATCGCATGGGTGGCGAGATATTCTCAGTCGTTTTCAAGTTCGAACGAGGTAGAGGGAACGGTTCCTGTGATTCTCCAGTTTCAGTCAATCTTATTACTTCAAAATCGTCTTAGCTTTCTACTTCGACTACCTACTATTGCTGTGATATCAGGTTTTGTGATTCCTACCTTTAAAACATGACTCATCAGCACTGCTGCTTGCGAGGTCTAGTCGACTCATATTGCATTTGTACAAATTAACTCATCATTGTTATATTGTTTTCAATGTACATAAAAGTCTACAGAACTCACTTATTTCGCTAGAATTCTACTGATGATTTAACGTTGCTTAGTTAATTTATAGTTTTTAATGCCAGGTATTAGGGAGATATATGTTCTGCCTACAAGTCATAGTTTTTTTTTGATTGTTGGGCGACTTCACTTTTTCATCTTTGCTTATGTCTGGCTGATTCTCATAATAAATAACCGGGTAAGAGCTTTTAGATCCAATGAATTTAGTCTCATAGAATTTTGGATTCATGTCTTTTCCAGTTATCATGCACGAATTTAAAAAAAATTTTTTTCAAGTTTCTCATCAAATAAGCAAGCACAATCCCTCATTCCTCCAAAAATACTTTATCTAATACACCATTTGCTTGAAAAAGTTTAATAAATGGAAAAACGTTTTGATAAAAGGATGTCTCTTGTAAGTTTTTCGGGCATCATTTAGGCGGTCAGTTAACCTCCGCAGAAAATCTTTAAAAATCAACGCATTCATACAGATAAATAACTGTTGAATGAACTGAAATCGTTCAAATCTTTTGGAATTACTATCAAGATAGTAGTACCACTCCCACTCCCGAATGTCGGTATGATGTTTTGTGTTGCAGTGGGGTTGTATATATATTGGTTGTCGGAAAAGTTCGTGCTCTTTTTTTCTTCGGAGTTCAAAATGTTCTAAAAATCCGAATGTTTTCATAACACGTTGTATATCTTTCAAAGGAGGAAGTCTCCTTTACAAAATGGCATGCCTGGTTTGGTCAAAAGTTTTGGGTGTTACACTAGAAGTGACTGAAAAGGTATTTCGAGAGCACGAAAAAATCTCAACCGACAGCTTAGTTCTACTTGATTGTGAGGAACCCGGAGTTCTAAACTCGTGGGTTATTTTTCCGCACTCAAAAACCATTGCCATGACCTACGCTAAGGTCTTACTGTAGGATAACGGTAGGTACACGGTGAGAAATCAAGTTCACTGATTTGCGTGAAAAGTGGTCTACTGGGTTAGTACATGCTGAATACAAAAAATATATCCATCCCCTACGTTAAAGCCATTTCGCGCGGTAGACATAAAATTATCCCATTTCTCCTCTTCCAGTGGAGCTGTGATGCTTTACCTTAGCATACCCACCCTAATTTTACCGTAAACGTTTGATGTGCGATGTGGGTTCATTTTTGTAATCAGCGAGTCAAGAAAACCCACTACACCACTTTCCACACAAATCTGCATTCCCACTACATCATATGTCACATCGTAATCTTGCTATAAGGTCCTATCTTGGGGAATACACATGATTTTCGTAATCAACACATCCAATCATCGCACAATTTAGCATTAGAGCAGTTTTTATGCTTCTTGCATATTAAGAAAATCGAACAGTTGGTCTGAACTTTTTTCAGGACTTTAAACTTTCAAATTCATTCGTTTCTAATTTACCACATCCTGCTTTACTGGATAGCCAATTATATCATCTTGTAGAAGGAAACTTCTTTTCCAAATTTATGTAATTTGCAAAAACTTACTTTTTAAAAGAATTTTGATTTAGAAAAAAGGGCACGATTCGACATTATATGTATATATTGATGTACCTATATTTGTCTCTATATATAATTCTATACAATAATTTATTACTC